GGCGGCGGTTATGGGTGGCGGCGGTTATGGATGGAGGCGGCGGTGATGGGTGGCGGCGGCGGCGGTTATGGGTGGAGGCGGTGGCGGCTATGGGTGGCGGCGGCGGTGATGGGTGGCGGCGGCGGCGGTTATGGGTGGTGGCGGCGGTTATGGGTGGCGGCGGCGGTTATGGGTGGCGGCGGTGGCGGCGGTTATGGGTGGAGGCGGCGGCGGCGGTGGGTGGCGGTTATGGGTGGCACGCGCACAGGAAGGCGTGGGCGTGCTCGGTGTGCTGGGCGTCGACCCGGAAGAGGTGGTCGCGGTAGGGGACCGGACCCAGGCACCCACCTCCTCCTCTGTCGTGCGTGTGGTGTGGCGTGGTGTGTGTGTCGTGGGTGTGTGTGTCGTGCAACACTCTTCTTCTTACCCTTGTGTCGTGTGGTGGTGTACACCGCACAGCAGCCTGGGGAGCGCTGGTGACGAAGAGGAAGAGGAGCTGGGCCAGCCATGTCTCTCAAGCATGCCTGTACGTTGGCGCTTCTCTTCTCTTTCTCTCTGATGTTCTTACGTGCACACGCTCAACATTCAGCCGCCCGCGCAAGGCCAAGGACAAGGACGCCTGCAGTGATTGGCCAACCTGCCGAATAAGCTCAACAACATGGGCGCCACCAATCTGTCGTACGTACAACACACACACACACCAACGCACACCAACGCACGCACATATGCACGCACACACACACACACACACACAACTCACGGTAGGACACAACGCTGACTTTGTGGACGTGTGTAGAGGAAGACCGGGTGGTACCACCAGGCGCTGAAGCTGGGGGGAAGAGGTGCAGCCACTGAAATCAAAGGTACGCCACGCAATGACACGACGCACACGCACGCACACGCACACACGAGAAAGGCTCACTCTTTGGCGCCTCCTTGCAGAAAAGCAGCAGCTCCACTTCCGGCTGCTCGAGCGGAAGCCCGAGTTCGAGGTCCTCGGATGGCGGCCCTCACGCGCGAGCGGCGTGGCCGCTGCGTCGCTCCTCCGACGCACCTGCTTTTTCGTTCTTTCTTTTTTTTTATTTTTTTATTTCCTTCTTTTCTCTTTTATTTCCTTATTTTCTCTTTGTGTTCCCTTCTTTTCTCTTTTTATTTCTGGTGGGTTTGCCCTGGGGCGTCGAGCCAGCGCACAGACAGGCCTGAGTAGAGCCTGAGTACCTTTAGGATCTTGGCCTTGTTCGTTCGCTTCTTCTGGAAGAGAAGAAGAAGAAGAAGGGAGCGAACTGAACGTTGAGAGATAGTAGGGAAAAATAAGGAGGCATACCACCAAAAAGAATGGAGTTGGAGACGACAGGGGGCGATCGCAGTTCCGAGGTGTGGGAGAAGGCGGGCATACCTGACGACTTGCGCCCTCTCAATCCAGAGCTCATCAGCCAGGGCGCTGAGGCTGTACGCCCTCTCCAACTGCATCGATTTCATCTTTTTTATTCTGTTAATTTATTCATCTTGTGCGATCTGGTGCCGTGCAGCGAGTGTACAAGGCCACCTTCCTGGGGCGGCCAACGATCGTCAAGGAGCGGTTCACCAAAGCCTACCGCCTGCCTGAGCTCGACGTCAAGCTCAACCAGTCCCGCATCACGCAGGTGCGCCCACCGACGACAACGCGTGTGCGTGTGCGGTGGTGCGGCAACTGAACGTGTGTGCGTGTGCGGTGGTGCGTGTGCGGTGGAGCAGGAGGCGCGATGCCTGGTAAAGGGACGGGCGGCCGGGGTCTTTTTCGTGGACCACCCGACCAAGCGGCTCTGAGCACACCGAGGGCCAGGCCGTCAAGCACTTCCTCTTCGCCCGCGGCACCCAAAGCCCCGGTACTTACTTACTTCACTCTCGCACTTGCGCACACGGCACACGGCACACGGCACACGACACACGACACAGAGCCTCGCTCGCGCGAACAGAAGCTGATGTTGTGTGCACTTAAACAAACAGAGGCGCTGGAGCTCGGAGCGCAGATCGGGCAGACGCTGGGCTGCCTCCACAATGCGGGGGTCATACACGGCGATCTCACCTCCAATATGATGATCAAGGAGGACGGTTCCCTCGTACGACCAACGACCAACGACACATTGCCATGGGCTGCTTTTTATTCATGTGTGTTGTGTGTGTCTGTCGTGTGTGCGCGTCGTGCGGTTCCACGCTGCGGTCGACCTCTACGTGCTCGAGCGCGTCTTCACCTCGACCCACCCCTCCTCTCAGGAGCTGGTACGCGTCCAAGACCCACGAATTCGCCACGGGCGATTCGTTTTCCAGCGTCTACACACACACACACACACTTCACGACACGCACCGTACACCACACACGGACACGACGCACGCACCTGACGCGGTGCCAATAATCAATCATAGTTCGTGTGCATCATCGAGGAGTACCGCAAGAGCGCCAACAAGTCCAAGACTGTGCTCCCACGACTTGAAGAAGGTGCGGATACCCTGTTTGCTAACCGAGCTATCGCCCGAGCGGGACGTCCTCCACGGCCGACCGGTACAGGATCTTGGGTTCGAGGAAGATGACCGGATTGGGGTCGCGGATGCTGCTCAGCAGCAGACCCTTGGCCTCCTTGGGCGTGCTGGGCATCGCCACCTGCGTGTGCGACACGCACACGACACGACACGCACACGACACGACACCATGTGAACTGAGCACATCACAGGGGGCCAGAACAAGAGGAGAAAGAAGAGGGAAACCTGGTTTGGTCTTGGGTCCGCCAAAGCACAGGGAATGAAGGGAGTGCCAGAGCGTCTCGTCGTACGCCATTTCGCGCCACTGCGAACACACCAGCCGCAACGTCGCCATCACCTGGAAATAGACCGACACTTTTTTCAGTTTTCGCAGTTTTCACGACGTTTTCCAACTGCACTCCGAAACGAAAAATGGCCAAACGGTTGGCTCGGGGGCGGGAGAGAAGATTGACCCCACGCCATCTATTCAAATGGAGCAGCCCCAACAACACCTACCCACCCATACACAGCCGCAGTCCCTCCCACCGGGCCTGAACGTCACTGGACCGCCCTACTTTGGCACATTCAACCGTCCCGCGCGACAGCAGGTACGATCACCTGTCAATCCAATAGAACATGATAAGATGGTGGTTCTTAGTCACTACGATCACAGGCAGACGAAGTAGAGAAATGGGATACCGATGCGACGGATTACAACATCTGGTACAACAAGAAATGTGGTGACTACCGCTCCAAGCGAATCGATGGCCGGTAGCGTATCCACGCTCATTACGAGACTGTTGCTTTTCAACAAATGCTTATCTCCGCATGCACTCACCCATTCCACTTAGAGAGAACGCCGCACATCGATGTCAAATTTTGAAAGATGCTGGCATCACAAGATCAGACGAGAACTCCTACATCTGCGTTTACTTTGCACGAGGCAAATGCGTGAGGGTGCGCAAACACGCAGGCCTGTCTCCTTTGTTGATTTTCTACTAACGCTCCTGACAACTGCTGCTGTGTGATCCAGGGGGCAGATTGCACTTTTCACCACCGAATTCCAGATGAGCGAGACGATGCCAGGCTCGACATCACTTACGACGTCTTTGGTCGCGAGCGCCACCGGTACGCTGACTGTCCTCCTCCACCACTGCGTGTGATTGGCCTCCTCACTCTCGCGTGTGCGTGGCATGCCCACAGCACGGACCGAGACGACATGGGAGGAGTGGGCACATTTTCGAGGGACAACCGCACCTTGTACATAGGCGGCGTGCGGAGGGTCAAAGGCGTGGATCTGCAGGAGCTCATAGTGCGCAACTTCATCGAGGTACCGTTGTTTGTTGTTTGTTTGTTTGTTGTTCTTGTTCAACCCCGCCCTTCCTGCGTCCCTCCCCTGCACGTTGTTTGGAGGGGGGGGGCTTGGCAGGCCCTGCTGTCCGTGGCCACTCGCTGACTGTCACCTGGCGTTTACCCAGTTTGGCGAACTCGAGTCGGTGCGCGTCATCTGGGACAAGTCGATCGCTTTCGTGCGCTACAAGCTGCGAGCCGCTTCCGAGTTTGCCAAGGAGGCCATGGCGGACCAGGTCTGCCCAGCTCCCACAAGAGGCTCCCTTATCCAGTAGTAACGGAGGGCTAACCCTTTTGTCATTGGGGGGGGGGGATCGTGCAGAGCTTGGGCTACAAGGAGGTGCTCAACGTGCGGTGGGCCAACGAAGACCCCAATCCACGGTCCCAGCGCGAAAAGGCATTCGCTGTCGCCAACCAGGCCTACAACGCCGTCATGGCTCACGGAGGCCCCGCGCCCTACCCCGACATGTCCACCCTCGGAACGGGCGATGCCTATCCCACCACCGATGGCCAGTACTCGGAGGCCGCCGTGCCCGCCGAGTACCAGCAGGCCCTCCAGTACGCGAGCACCTACTACCCCGGCACCACACACCAGCCCCCCTACGACCCGGCGGCGGGTGGCGTGCCGCAGGAGGAGTCCGCGCTCTCCCTACTCTCCGCCTACGACGTCGACAGCTACGCCGACAGGTACGGCTCGTCCACCGACGACCAGCAGCCGCCGCCTGCCGGAGAAGCTGCCGAACAGCAGGCCAGCGGCGTGGTATCGGCCACGACTGTGCAGGACCAGCAACAAGTGCAGGCGGACTACACTTCCGACCAGTGGCGGCAGTGGTACATGTACTACTACGGCTACGTGCCCGCCGAGCTGCCGTCGGCCGGTGGCGCCGAAACCGCAACGGTGGCCACCAGCGGCGGCACACCCGCCCCGGCGACGCCAGCCAGCGGACCGGCCATCCACCCTCAACCCAGCGGCGTAGGCGTGGGGGTCCTGGCGACACCACCGGGAACAGCAGCAACGGACCACCAGGAGGACGCTCCCGCCAAAAAGCTGCGCACCCAGTGACAGTTGTCGGCTAATTGTGCACTAAAGCTGTACGTTTTGTGGGTGTGTAGCTGCGCGGAGTTAATTAGGTGGGGAGATTGGGGAAAATTGGTGGCCATTTGATTTTTTCCCATCGCACGGCCAATGGGAAGTTGCTAGCCGTTTGTGTGTCATTTTTTCAACTTCCCTTCCTCGCGCGCAAGCCACGCCCAACGGTCACCGCCGGCAGCTCCCCCCCTTGTTCCCGCCACCAACCCATTCTCCCGCCTTCGTGCCGCCGTAACGGTCGGCCCACCAACTGCACGGCCGTTGATCGCCCTACACTTCTCCACCTCACCTCGCGCCTACACAGCCGGCCGTCAGTTGGGTTATTCTTCTTCTTATGACCTAGGCGGATCTAGGCCAGAGATTCCATCCCATCTTCCCATCCTTCAATCGAGAAGCAGCCGAAGTACCACCACCTCAAAAGTACGAACGTTCATGGAGCCCTTACGCTGCGGCAAACTATCGACGATGGAGCTAGCGCAGCTTGACGACGACGATAATGAACCGTGCGATCCCCATCTTCTGAGCCTGTGCGTCAAGCTCGAGCAGCGGACCAGTCGAGGCCAGCTTGATGACTTTGACGAAGATGACGACTTGGACGACTGCGAAGATGACGACGAGCTGGACTGCGACGACGATGACCTCGAACGCTCGGCCATCATTCCCGGCGGCGAGAAGCAGTCGAGCAAAAGGTGCGAGCGTGCTCTTCCTTGTTGGTCCAACAGGCGTCGCGGTTATATTAATTTGGCGTCGACTGGTTGGCTGTTCTCCTGTTTCGCATCTCCGCCGCTCACCCCCCCCCTCTCTTTTTTTCGCTCTCTCCTCTCACTCTCTCTCTCACGCCCACGCCCACACTACACACACAGCAAGCAGACGGTGCGGCGGTCGTCGCGGGGCAAGTGGACCAAGGAGGAGGACGAGCTGCTGCGCCGCGCGGTGGAGCTGCACAAGGGCAAGAACTGGAAGACCATCGCGTCGTACTTCCACGGGCGCACCAACGTGCAGTGCCTCCACCGCTGGCAGAAGGTCCTCAACCCGCAGCTGGTCAAGGGTCCGTGGACCAAGGAGGAGGACGAGCTCCTCCGCAAGTACGTCTCCATCTACGGCCCCAAGACCTGGGCCCTCATCGCCAAGGAGCTCGGCGGCCGCATCGGCAAGCAGTGCCGCGAGCGGTACGCCGACCACGACCACGACCACCACCACGACCACCACGACCACCACCCCAATTGCCCCCTCCCTCCCTCTCCCCGTTGGGCACGTGCCTCGAACGGTTGCTGACGTGGTGTGTGTGTCGTGTGTGCCTTCGGGGGGGGGTAGGTGGTACAACAACCTCAATCCGGCGATCAAGCGGGACGCGTGGCTGGCCGAGGAGGACCAGATCATATTCGAGGCCCAGCAGAGGCTCGGCAACCGGTGGGTGGAGATCGCCAAGCTGCTGCCCGGCCGCACGCCCAACGCCATCAAGAACCACTGGAACTCCAAACTACAGAAGTACGTCCTCGTCAAGCACACCGACGGCTCCCAGGAGCTACACCTCAAGGACGCCTCCGCCTCCGGGACCGCCACCGCCGCAGCCGCCACCACCGGCAAGGACAAGGACAAGAAGGGCTCTGGGTCGGCCTCGTCGTCGGCTTGCACGTCAGCTTCGTCGTCGCCCGACATCGGCGCGGTCACGTCGGTAACCGGCGGCGTCGGGTCGTCGCGGCCCAGGAAGCGCGCTCGGACGGCGTCGGCGCCGCTCAAAGAGCCCAAGGTCGACCCCGACGCCCAGGACCGGTCGCCCTCCTCCGCCTACCAGTCGCTCTACCACCACCACGACCACCACCGCCACCACCACCCCCGCCACCCGTTCTCCCACCACCACTTTGCGGCTGCCGGTTGCTTAGAGTCGGCACCCGCTTCGTCTCCCACCTCCGCCGCCATCATCACTTCGACGTCGGCCTATCCCTCGTCACCACCGCTGCCCTCTACCGCCGCGTACCCCCCTCTGCCGACGATACACGCCGGCGCGCCATCGCACAGCCGCAAGCGCCACTCGACTGCACTGATGGAGGACGTCGTGGGAAGCGAGGAGGACCAGCTGCTGCTCCACTCGTGCGGACCCTCGTCCGACGACTTGGCCACGAGCACGACGACGACGCGCAGCACCTGCACGAGCGCCCACGGCTCCCGCCTGCCGTCGCCGCTTCTCGATCGCTTTTCCGAGTTCCCCGACGGAAGCGACAGCGCGGACCACCACCGCCACCATGCGCCCTTTGCTCACAACGGTCGCCTCCACCCAGTCGTCAAGCCGGAGCCCTCCGCGCTCGACCACCACCAGCAGCAGCACCACCAGGCACACCCCGTCAAGGCTGAGCCGTTGTTCGAAGACGAGGACAGCCTCTCGGCCGAACTGCGACATTTCGTGTTTGCGCACACCTCCACCGGCCACCACCGCACATCGAGCGACGGCGACGAGGAAGCGCTCGCGGTGGCCCTCGACCCGTTCGACCAGAACTCGACGCCTTTCGAGCAGCTGGCGCCCATCGAGCCCCTCGAGTTCGACCAGCTCAATTCGTCGCGCCTCCTCGACCTCCCCTCGGAGCTGCTGCCCTCTATCTAGCCCTGCCCCCCCCCCCCCGGACGCCCCCAACGGCGGGCTGTAGAGGCAGCCCGCAATCCCCCCCCCTCCAATCTCTCTCTTTTCTTCTTGTTGTTGTTGTAAGTACCTTCCCCCCCCCCGGGGAGCCTCCCTGCGCGTGTAGCATATAACCCCACCTCTCCCCATCGATCGTTTGTAGATACCTCACCTACGCATGTCTCTTATCCTCCTCCTCCTGTAAATACATCTTCTTCGTCTTCTGTTCGCTCTCCTCTCTCTCTCTCTGGTTCCGTTGAAGAAGAAAGAGAAAGCGGGTACAAAACTTCGTTGGCCGTTTTGTGTCTCCTGATCCACCTGACATCACGAGGCACACATGGAAGAGCTCGCACGACTGAAGAAGAAGCTTGAGAAGGCGATCACCGATGCAGACGAAAATGAGGCACTCGATGTCATTCGTGCACTTGATCGAGTGACCATCACCGTGGATTCTCTCGGGGTACATCTTGCACCAATCCACCATTCAATGCAACAAGATTTGAGATTGGATTGGGTAAGATTTAACGAATTCCACCGGGGATGTACAGAAAACGAAGATTGGTCTGGCCGTGGGCAAGTTGAGGAAGCATGAAAACACAACCTTGGCGGGCGAAGCCACCAAGTTGGTCACGAAATGGAAGAAGGCAGTGGCAGATCAAACCCCCACGAAGCCCAATTTCCCTTCCAATTCCTCCTCTACCTCCCCCGCCCCCGTTAAGAAGGAGGCGCCTCTTTCGCCCACCCCCTCCATCTCTTCATCTACTACTACTACTACCACCACCGCAGCCCCCTCTTCGCCCAGCACGCCCAAGAAAATCAAGGCCGAAGATGGCGCCGGCGCCACCACTATTAATGGCAGCGGGACCCCCATCAAACAGGAGAGGCCCTTGACCGTCACGCCTCGCAAGAGAACCACTCCCACCACGTCCCCCTCCCTCGCCATGAGCCCCATCCCCACCTCGCCCACGCTCGCCGCCGCCGCCGCCCCGAAGGCCGAGACCAAGCGACCAGCACCCATCAAGCTCAACGACGCCACGCGCCAGAAGTGCTTCGAGATGCTCGCCGAAGCTCTCGAGCAGTCGGAATCGGGTACGCACCCACCCACCCACTGCATAGTCCTCCTCCTCCTCCTCCTCTCCGCTTCTCTGTCGCTGCCGCTGCCGACCCGCTACGACGCTTCTGCTTCGTCGTGATGGTGCTGGTGCAGATGCGGACTACTTCGAGCTGGCGCTCGACATCGAGGCGGAGATGTTTAAGCTCTTTGGAGAGACCAACCCCAACTACAAGGCCAAGTTCCGCCAGCTCTTCATGAACCTCAAGAACGTCAAGAACCACGACCTCCGGCTTGGCGTTCTCAACGGCCACATCTCCCCCGAGCGCCTGTGCCAGATGACATCCCAGGTTTGCAACCTTCTCGCCCCCCCCCCGGTTGTTGGCTGTCAGCTCTGCCCTCACCGCGCCGCGCTGGCACTTGCGCAGGAGTTGGCGAGCAAGGAGCTGCAGGAGCAGAGGAAGGCGCTGGAGGAGGCCTGCCTGAAGGAGGCCATCCGCGGCGGCCAGAAGCAAGCGACGACCAACATGTTCCGCTGCCACAAGTGCAAGAAGCGGGAGTGCACCTACTACCAGCTCCAGACGCGCTCCGCTGACGAACCCATGACCACCTTCGTCCAGTGCACCAACTGCAACAACCGTTGGCGCTTCTAATAGTTTTTAAACCCCAAAAAACAAAAAAAAGGGAGGTTCAAAGAACACAAACTTTATGGGCCAGGGCCAGGCCCATTGCCATCATTGTACTTGGACCCATTGCGTGCCATCTGTAGTTGTTGTTGGTAGTTGTTGACCACATTACACTTTCAGAACAGAATGGAGCTTGCGTTGGCAGATGCTCTCAATGGCCTGGTGGTGTGGAAAAGGTTGTTGTGAGGGGATGGGTTTCTCTGACGAACCTGCTGAGCAGAGCTGCCCCGAGCAAGGCAGCAGCAAAACGTACGCTCAGTTCCATGGCCGGCTGGGCTTCGACGCAGCGCTCCCCGGCACTGCTCAGTATCTCGTCCAACAGGCGGTTGAACAACCTGCCCAACCCCCCCCCAAAGAAGGTAAGGAATTAATTTATTAAAATAAAGAAATAAATCAAGAAGAAAAGTAAGTAAGAAAGGAGGAGGGCGCGTACGGCTGGTCCTTGGCGGCGAGGGGCCGCAGGGAGTGGGCGAGGAAGTAGAGGTCGAGCTGGATCTGCTGGTAGCCGTTGCGGGAGAAGGTCCGCAGGCGAACGCACTCCTGCAGCGACTTGAGGCAGATCTTGAGGATGCCCAGCATGATCGAATCCCGGTCACCCGCGACCGCGCCGAAGATCTGCACCTTCTTCTCGAACAGGTTCCCGATGTTGAGCTCGAACCGCGACGCACGCACCCGCGCTTAAGCCCCCCCCCACCCACCACCACCACCAACAAATGGCCGAACAGAACGCGTCAGTAGTGAATCGCCGCATGCCGACGGGGAGCCACGGAAAGAGAGATCATAAGAAGAAGTGGTGAATGGTACCGTCACGACTGTGGGAGGCCCGTAGGTCGCTCGAGGAGAGCTCGGTCGGGGCGGTCTGGTCGAACACCTGCCCCACCTCGGCGGCCATCTGTCGCACCTCGTCCACCAGCATCTCCATGCCCTGGGCGCGCGCGATTGTGTGTGTGTGTGTGTGTGTGGTGCGTGCAGTCAGACCAGACGTATATCGCAGCGCCAGGAGCCCAGCAGTACTGGTCGATCAACGCACGGATGGGGGCGGGGGAGGAGGCTCGTACGGGGCGGATGTCGCAGGGGAGCTTCGCCTTGAGCCAGTTGGGGGTAAGGATGGCCTGGCGCACCATCTGCGACAGCTTGTCCCCCTACCACACACACACACACACACACGCAGCCCCCCCCCGATACACGCGCCACCGCCACCGCCAACAACGGAACCAAAGACACGTGAGCCATCCACCCGCACGCACCGCACGCACCGCACGCATGGGCCAGATGAGTGATCGGCAGCAGCGGGTGTACCTGACACTTGACGTAGTGGGCGAGGAGCTTGCGTGAAACGTGCGCCAGTCGCTTCTGGAGATCGGCCACGGCGAACTGCTGAGGCACATTCGGGTGGTGAGCGGAGCGAGTGAGTGGAGTGAAAGAGTGAGCGATTGCGGAGGTGCCGTGCGTGTGATCCAGGCGTGCCCATATATGGGCGAGGTACGTACCGGGGTCTCGCTATGGAGCTGCTGGTGCTGGTGCTGGTGCTGGTGCTGGTGCTGCTGGTGATGGTGGTGGTGGTGGGCAACCAAAGCCGAGAGCTGCTGCACGATGCCTTGGATGTGGGCGACACCCCACGATTCCAGCTCCACGCACACGCGCGCCAGCTCCATCGCACACACCCCGGGCAATCTGCCACCGGCCACATTATCACCAGCCAGCCTAAAGGCGCGGGGGGTCGTGTGTGTCATGTGTGTCGTGTTGTGGGAGCACCTTTTGTGGGAGGCGTGGGGCGCGGCGGGTGCGGAGGTGGAGGCGCCGTCGTCATGGAAGGGGGCCATGAGCGCAAGCACCTGGAGGAGCAGCTGCTGGGCGTTGACCACCGTCTTGGTGAAGAAGGCGCTGCTGTGCTGCCCCAGGAAATCTGTCGACGCTGTCGATACGAACAGCACCTGCGACATCTCCCCCACCAGCCACCAGCCACCACCACCCACCACCCACCACCACCCACCACCACCACGACCACCACCACCACGACCAGCACCACCAGCACCACCACCACGACCACCACCACCACGGCGATGTCCGTCCGGTTAAGAAGGCCTTACTCGTGACGCCGGTGTGTGCGTGTGCGTGCGCGTGCGTCACTCCAACCCGCGTCTGTCGGGACGTGCCTTGAGCTGCTGGAAGTAGGCCTCGACCTGGCCGGTGATGGTGTGGGTGATGGTGCTCCACACCTCCGCCACCTGCTGCCCGTCGCGCTGCCGCAGCAGCTTGCGATCGCCGCCCTCCGAGTCGGCCAGCTCCATCACGCTCATCACACTGTCTGCTCAGACCGGTCACGCACGACCCATCGGGTGCACACGATCGCGCCGTAACCGTCGTCACGCCCCCGCCACATCAGCCCCCAGTTCCTCTCCCCACCGGGGAAGCAGGAGAAGCAGAAGAAGCAGGAGGAGAGAGAGAGAGAGAGAGGGGGAAAACGAAAACGAAGAGATGAAGGAAAAGGAGAAGAGGTGTAAGATGGCGCCGGCGGTGGTCTACCGTGGATGGCGGCGTTGGCGTGCTGGAAGCGCTGCTCGATGAGCTTCTGCACGGTCTTGGTGATGACGTCCGAGGAAATGTGCCGCAGGGAGAGCTCCTCCAGCTGCTCACTGAGCCCCAGCAGATCCTCGCGCACCACGCGCAGGCCCTCCACCACATACCTCGCCTGGCTGGTGCTCTCCTGCGCGTCCCCACCCGCGACGCGGCACACACGGCACACACGGCACACACGGCACACACGTCAATGTGGTGAATGATGGGCAGCCCAGGTCTGCGGCGGCGGGGTGTGTGTGGATGGGGAGGGCGCACGAGGAGGTGGGTGCGGACGAGGGCGAGATAGCGGCGGAAGAGGGCGAGCGCAAAGTCGTCGAGCAGGCCGAGGGCGGCGGCCCGGTCGTCGGGCGAGGTGTCGGGCCGGTGCACGAAGAGGCCCTGGTAGGCGTCGCTGAAGCGGAGGAAGAGGTTGAGGAAGGACCCGTCCACCTCGCGCACGAACCCGACCACCTCCTCCAGCTCGCGCTCCTCCCGGGCCTCCGCCCGGGCCTGCTTCTCGCGCTCCTCCAGCTCCCTCGCCCGCTCCTCGCCTTCGCCCTCCTCCTCCTCCTCGTCTTCTTCGTCTTCGCCGAACGGGTTGCCGCCGTCGCTGGCGGGCGGAACAGCGGAGGGCTGCGGCTGTGGTGTTTGGGGCGAGGACACGCCGCCGCCGCCACTACCACTACCCTGCTGCTGCTGCTGCTGCTGCTGCTGCTGTGCTGCCTCTTTTCGGCGGAGGCTGCGGTCGAGGGCCAGCTGCTCGAAATGGGACAGGTTCAGCTCGAGCTGCTTGCCCATCCTATCCCACCCCCACCCCCACCCCACCCCCACACGCGCCTTTTGTGAGTAGTGGTGCGTATATTCCGCGCGCGCGCGTGTGCTCGTGCCCGTGTCGCGTGTTGTTGTGCCGTACCCGGAGAGGAAGCTGGAGCGGAGGTCAGCAGGGGACTCACCGAGGTCGATCAGCAGGCCGGCAGCGTCGGCCACCGCATTGAGATCTTCCTGTTGGTTGATTGGTCAGGGTTGGTTTACGATCCGACTCGGGTTGATGGCTCGCACAACACGCGGCATGGCCATAAGGTGCCACTCCACAGTGGAGCAGCAGCAGCAGCCGCCGCCGCCGCCGCAGGAGTGGGTACGTTGGATTCGAGGACGAGGCGGAGGCGGAGGCGAAGGGTGGCGACAATCTCGTCGCACTCCTGGAGGATGGTGCGGAATGAGGGGATCGAGGAGTACTTCCGCAGCACCCCGTGCGTACGCTTGTAGTGCTCCACGGCCTGGCCGTACCACCCGACCTGCAATCACTCACCAGCCACCACCACCAGCCACCACCACCAGCCACCACCGTCATCGACATCATCCCCCCCCCCACGGCCACGCGGATGGCCCACAAGCAACAACCAGCCGCAATCGTTTGGGGGGGGGAGGTCGACGCGTTAGTGAAGTGAGTGGTGAGCCACCGGTGGGGGTCGAGTTGAGCGCACCTCGAGCGCACGCTTGAGACGTCGGGGCAGATCGAACAGGAATTGGCGCTGTCACACACGACACACGACACACGACACACGACACACGACACACGACACACGAATGTGGCGGCCGCCGGGGTGAGCGTGACCAAAGCCGCACATGCATAGCCCGCAGATCTCCGAGTCGTACCTTCTTCAGCAGTCGGTACACTCCGCTCAGCTCGTGCAGCTTCTCCCTGCGCGCGGCCCCACGCCAGCCACCGCCACCACCGCGGCTGTGAGAGTGAGTGGCCCCACGCACAAATGAAAAGCACGGGAGCGCGCAGGGCGCACCGTCTGGGCGCGAGGGTGGCAGTGATGTCGTCAGAGACGAGGGTGATGGTGTCCATGTTGGCGGTGAGCCGCTGCATTTCCTCCTCCATGTTCTCCACGTTGCTCTTCATGTCGCGGATGGTGTCTGTGGCGCTGATGAATTTGTTGTAATTCTCGTAGACGAGGGTCTTCATGTCGCTGTCAAGCTTCTTGATGTCCCGCAACATGCTTTGGTCGGTCTTCAACAGGCGCCGCACGCCCTGTGACCTGAGTAGCCGCTCGAAGTAGCGATCGGGATCAAATGCCGCATTATCTATGCTGGCCGGGTCGGGGGCGGCCTGCTTCTCCTGCTCTGCCTCTGCCGCCCCATAAAAGTTCTGCAAAATCAGACGTCGCCGCCTTCTCATGATCTCCCCATCTTCTCCTTCTGACGTCGCCATTTCTCTCTCTCCTCTTTTTTCCGTTGTTTAATTGTTAACGTTAATCTACGCAGTAATAATTATTATCTAATATTTTTCTAATTTATTTTTTGCCGTCACGAGAGAGGAGACCCACATGCGCATAACCGTTCACTGCTGGACCTCGACGATGTGGCGCTTGCGTTCGGGCACGGGCCTGGTGTCCTGGCTGGAGTGGGCCGCGCGGTTCTTCTCCTTGCGCTGCTCGGCCTTCTTCATGACGCTCTTGAGGCGAGTAGCGCCATGCACCGCCTTGGGCAGGTGGCGATGGCGGTCGATGCGGCGGATCTCGGGCAGGTGGCGGTATCGCGCCTTGAGCTTCTCCTGGTACTCCATCTTCTTCTTCTCGCGCGGCACTAGCACCTTGAGCGGGTCGGCCGCGTTGGCCTTCCACAGTCGAATGTTGGTGTCGTCTGACGCCGACATCACGAACCGCGAGTCGCCCGTGAACCGCACGCAGAAGATCCTCTGCATCCGCTTTGTGTGGTAGACCTCCCTGCAAACGCGCGCGCGTTGCCACCCACCACCACCCACCACCACCACGTCAGCCGCTGCAGCACACACGACAACACACGCCTCTTACAATTGCAAGCCGGCGTGTCATACCTGCTACGTCCCTCGGAGCGGCGGAAGATTCGGAGCGTGCGATCGTAGGAGCCCGTGACGAACTCCTCGCCCGTCGGCGAGTAGTCGATGTCCAGCACGGCCGCCACCTGTTGCGCGCAACGGCCAAAAACGGTGGTGAGCGCCACCGATCCATACGGAGCTCCTGCTTGAGCGCACAACACCAGAACCGGCCCAGGAGAGGCTCCTCAAGAGAGAGAGAGAGAGATGATGATGATGATGATGAAGGTTGGGGGGGAGAGAGAGAGAGAGAGAGACGTACGTGGTCCTGGTGCACGTTGAGGGCAGTATCGAGTCGTCGCATGTCGAATGTATACACGTTGTGATCTTCGCTGGCGACCGACAAGTTGAAGGCCTCCATGGGGTTCCACGCCACGGCGTTGCCCCGCATCGTCATGATCACCTTGCGGATCGGGGTCGCTGCACAGCATCGCACAGCACAAGTGATGCGGTCCCGAGAGAGCGTGAGCACCACCAGCAGGACCAGGGAACACACACGATACACACGACACGACACACACCCCCTGTGGCAGGGAGGCATCGCATCGAGATGGTGGCTGGGGGGGGGAGCGTCGTACAGGCGCGAACGTCGTGGAAGGCGAGGGAGCGGTCGGAGGCCAGCGAGGCGAGCACGTCCTGGTCGATGGGATTGAATTTGACCGCGTTGACGCTGTCGCAGCCCCACTCGAAGGTGGCGGTGGGCGAGCCGCGGGTCTCGTCCCACAGGAGAATGACCGGGCCAGAGGTGGCGAAGATGGGCTGGTTGGCCTTGTGGCTGATCCCCGAGAAGGCGTGCTCGCCCAGGAAGGTGGTGAGGGGCTGCCGCAACACCACCAGCCACCAGCAACCAACAGGAGGAGGAGGAGCGCGAAATGTGAGAAAACAGTGGCCGCACCGAATTGAGGTAAGTGTGTTGTGTGTTGTGTGTTGTGTGTTGTGTGTTGTGTGTGTGTGTGTTGTGTGCGTGTGTGTGGTAGAAAGATGAGGCGCGCACCTGGATATCCTCGGGGAGGCCGTTACGGAGGCCGTCGAGGGAGATCGGCCACAGCTTGATGGCCTTGTCGTCGCCGACGGTGATGACCGACGAGTTGCCGTGGCCCAACGCCACACCGCGCACGAACCCGCGATGGGCCGGCAGCGTGGCCAGGCACGCGTGCGTCGCCAAATTCCACACCTTGAGCTCTGGTACACCCATGACGACGACGACTTCTCATCAGCACAGCCCGTTGGCACACCACGTATACGCAGCACCGCAGCACCGCGCGCACATGGAGCGGGGTGGAGGTACCGCCATCGCAGCTGCCGGAGAAGATGTGGGTGAGGGAGTCGGGGTGGCGGCAGAGGGAGAAAACGCTGTCGCTGTGGCCGTTGAGGGCGGCCACGAAGGGCCGGGCAAAGATCTTGTCCATCTTCACGGCATTGAGGGCACGCGTGTACTCTCGCGGCTTCTCGAAGGGGTGCTGGGCCGGGTCCACATTGCGCTGCATGCGGACCAAATCCACCTTCCTCTCCCTCGTGAATTCCGCCTCATTACGGGAAATCGTTTTCACCTTCTGCTCGGGTGATGGATTATTTACGAAAATTGTTGAAGGTAAATGGTAAATGGTATATAGTAAATTAGCGGCACACATAGGAGGCTGTGGTTACCATTTTGATTGCTGGTGGGGCTCCTGGATGAATGATGCGCGACCGGCTTGCTGCGCAGTTGGAGTTTTGATTTGCACGGCTGATTTCCGGCTTTCTTCTTCCGCTTCATATTTTCCTCCAGCATTTCCTGTTTTTATTGTCACAATTTATTTTATTTACAATTTAGAAGCCCCATTCTTTTTGGCAGAAGAAGTAGAAGAAGATGGAAGAAGAAGAGGCACAGCAGGTAACAATGGCGGGGGCCAGCGACCCCCACCCCTGGTTCATGGTGGTCCACGAGGCTGCTGCCGCGGTGGGTCCGCGGCTCGGGCGCGCCGCGGTAAAACCCGGACGGGGCGAGGTGGCGACTCCGGGGTGGCTGCCCGCCACGCGCAAGGGCTGCGTGCCACACCTCACCCCGGACCTCCTCGCCCGCGTGCCCCACCTCGACGCCCTCCAGCTGCCACTCCAGGACTTGTGCGCCCCTTCCCCCCCTTGGCTTTGTTGTTGTTGTTGTTGGTGTTGTTTTCGTCTCGTTCAACCACCTTAAGGTGGGTTGCTGATGGCGGATTCGACACCCGTGTCTGGGTGAACACACCAGCTATCCGGACACGGCGGCGCTGCGGGGCTTCGGGAAGGGCGTGGGCGCCTTTGTCGTCGATCCGGACCACTCCTTCTTCCTCACCGGTGCGCCGCCGCCGCTCTGCTTCCGCTCCACTTCCTGGTGGCGTGTGCAGCTCGTCGTCGGCGTTGTGCGTGCGTGCGTGCGTTGTTGCGTATTTATTTCGCAGCTTTTGCTGATGGTGGTGCTGCTCCGGAGAGGGGCGGCTGCGCAGTGCGGGAGGTGACGGCGCACGAGGAGGGCACGATCGCGAAGGAGGGCGTGGCGGTGCGCACGGGCGGCGGGCGCACGGTGGTGGGCGTGGCGGCCTACATGGACCACGTGCTGGCCCTCGGCCCCGACGCCTTCGCGAGCCTCGCGCCCGAGATCTCGTGCCTGTCCTCGCGCAAGCAGACCCAAAAGGCCCACGAACTCACCCTCCAGTGGCTCGACACCTGCCTCCAGCGATTACCCCGGGTACGGAGGTGGTGGTGGCTGGTGGTGTGCTCTGATCAGCATGTGTGGTGACCTGCGTGTGGACCCACCAACCACCGCCCACCAGCCCACCGCACCGTGGCGCCACGATGACCGCACACAACTATGAGCTGATAGGAATGTGCGGAATTCCGCGTGCCAGGAGAGCGGAATGCGGGTGTTGGGCGTGGTGGGCGGGGGCAGGCACGTTGACCTGCGCGTGCGATCGGCGCAGGAGACGGTGAAGCGCAATGTCGACGGTGCGTGATGCAGAATGGGGGCGGCGGGCGGTGGCCTTGCACATTTCACCTCTCTTTTGGAGAATTGACGTCGCTTTCACCGCCACGCACCACAACCATCATCAACGCTGCACCGCAGGATTCCTGCTTTCTGGCTTCGGGTTGGGCGAGTCGTTCGCCGAGCGCGAGACCCTCCTTGCCGCCATCGTCGTACGTCGCCACCCCTCCTTTGCGGTGTGTCGCAACAATTGCAGCGCTGACGCGCGACAATCAAACAATCGGTTGTCCCGGCGCAGAAGGAGCTCCCGCCCCACCACCTGCGCATGGTGGCCGGTGTGGGCGCCCCGCTGGAGGTCCTGCAGTGCGTGGAGCAGGGCGTGGACCTCATCAACAGCGCCTACCCGACCATGGCCACCGAGCTTGGCCAGGCCCTCAACTTTTCCTTCCTCGGCGTTTCCGCCGCCGCCGCCGAAGGTGCGCTCCTTCTCGGGCCTCTCCTCGCTTCGCAAAGTGTGGCCAATGGTGGTGAGATCTCACCGCGCACGGTCGGCCCCCGTCCAAATGCACTGCCCAGGTGGGGTCCAAATCCAGGTGGGGCGGCCCTACATGGAGGACGCGCTCAAGGTGAACGTGCGGGAACGGGCCTACAAGCTGGACCCGCGGCCCATCTCGCTGGGGTGCGAGTGCTACACGTGCACCCACCACTCGATCGGCTACATCCACCACCTCCTCTCCACCCACGAGATGCTGGCCTCCGTCCTCCTCAACATGTACCCCCCCCACACACAGCCCACCACATCCCATCCCATCCCATCCCATCCCATCCCTCATCTCTTGAAGGAAGCTCTCGTGCGTGGTCGTGATGTGCCCCCCCCCTCGCTCGCTCCTGTTCTCACGCACTTCCTGGGCGCGCTCCTGGCACGCGACACACGACCAACGACACAGTCATAACACGCACCAGTACAGCCTGTTCTTCGAGGCCATCCGGACGCACGTACGTGCAGGCACTCTCGGCGAGCTCAAGCGCCGACTCCTCGATGCCCTCAAGCACGGACGTTGAGAGGCAACCCTCCTCCGGCTTTCTCGCGCGAAAGAACGAGCAAGTAGAACGAGCAGCTTGCCCCCCCTGCCGGGAGAGGCAAAAAGGAAAACACGAAAGCAAAAGAAAAGGAAAAAGAAGATTTCGTCCAAGATTTCGAGGGGCTCATTAGGCACAAACTTTGTACTTTATCATGGCAGCGCCGGCTGCCGAGACGTTGGAGTGTGTGGCTCTCCTGGAGCGTGACCGCAACGAAGACCTCCTCACCACCTGGTACCAATCGCACTCCAAACGCGATTTTTCAAATTGAATGTGTAACGTGGCAACTTTAAAAATCAATGATTACAATACATTTTGTGCCATATTGTTGTATGTATTGTTGTTATTTATTTTAATATCGTGATACAGATATTTATATTTTGATCGATTTTTTTCTCGCCGCTGTGGTGTCGTGCGCTGCACAGGGTGTACCCCGCGGCGGAGGAGGGCCTGCGCACGGCGCTGGAGCAGTGGGTGACGATCCTGGCTGCGGGCGCGCTCGCGGCGCGCCACCAGCAGCGCACCGACGACGACGCCGAAGCTGCCGCCACCGACGACCAGCCGCCCCACCCCTTCATCTTCACCAAATACAAGACGTACGGCACCGCACGACACGACACGACACGACACGACACGACACGACACGACACGACACGACACGACACGACACGACACGGCACGGCACGGCACAGCAACGACACGCTACGCGCTACGCGCTACACGCACACACACGCGACACGACTTGCGCTGACGGTTGTCAATCAGGTCGTGGGTGTACATCCAGGGGGCGGACGGGAAGGAGGCGGGTGGTGGTGGTGGTGGTGGTGGTACGATGGTGTGGGTGGCGGTGGTGGTGAGCAGCACGGGCTTCAACCCGGAGCGCTACGAGGCGCTCCTCCGCGCCATGGTCAACGCCGCCACGGGCGCGTCGGGGTCGGGTGCGTCGCCGCCGAAGCTGCTGGAGTGCTTTCTGTCGGTGCAGATCAAGGGGCGGTACGCGCCGGCCGGGTTCGTGGCGGCGGATCACGACCCGCGCAAGGCGCTGCTGGTGAGCGACATCAAGCACCTGGTGCCGGCCCTGGGCGTGGAGTTCATCGTGGTGTGGACAGCGCTGCTGATGAAGAAGCGCGTGGCGGTCTACGGCGCGGCGGTGACCGACGTCCTCGCGGCCGTGCGGGGCCTGCCGGCGCTCGTGTGGCACCGCCAGGATTGGAGCGGCCGCCTGCTCCGGCCGTGGGTCACACTCGACCCGGACTCACAGCTGGCCGAGCTCGAGCAGGCCGGCGTGTTCGTGGCCGGCTTCACCGACCCGGGCGTGCGCGCCCTGCCGGACCTCTACGACGTCCTCGTCGACCTCGACCAGCGCACCGTGCGCGTCATGGACCACGCCGCACCCGACTTCAAGATGGGCGCCTTCCACAAGGACCTCGCCACCTACCTCCTACAGGCCGCTGCCGACCCCGACGTCTCCGCTCAGGCCATCATCAAGGTACACAACGCTCACGGCACACGCACAACACAACGCAACACGACACGACACGCGAAACACACGACAAGGTATGGACGCTTGATTGCCCTTCGCGTGCGTGGCTGTCTGCGGGTGAATAGGAGGTGGCGGTGCGGACGAAGGAGCTGCTGACCAAGCTGGCGGCGTTGCGCGTCGAACACGAGGACGGCAACAAGTACATCACTCTCGAGGTAAGTTGGAAAGTGGGCTGTGTGTGGGGGGAGGGGGCGGGGGTGATCACTACATGCAACCGGGGGTATCCAATGGCGACAACCTTCCCCCACGCAGGGCCTGCAGGCGCGCAAGCTGCCGCCGAACATGGATCGCTTCCTGTACAACGTGGCGGGAGCCGAGAACATGACCTTCAACACCCACAAGTAACGAGAAGAGAGAGAGAGAGAATCACGAATGAGTAAACCATGTTGCCCACGAAAAAGCGAGGTTGAGAGGACGCATTGTGATCAAGGACGACGAGGCCGGTGGTGGTGCGCTCACTGCGTCAGTTTTCAAAGTAAACTTTTATTTGATATTTGGTTTGCTTTCATTCGTGGATGGTGGTACATGTGTTCGACAGAGCCGTCTCTTTCTTGAAAGCGCGTGGGTCCTCGGCTCTCTCCTTGTGGTGAGGGTCGTCGTCGTCGTTGTGGTGCGTGCGGTTGGTTTCCTGGATGATCAACGCTTACGTAAGGAGGTGGGCGCGATACGGCGTGCCGCGGACCTTGGCCTTGAGGTTGCGGAGGTAGCTCTCCATACGGTGCTCCGCCGAGGTCTCCACGTCATCTTCCTCGCCCGCCGCCGCCTCCAGTGCCGACGCCGGCGATGTGGGTGGCGACGGGCTCCGATTCTCCTTCTTCTCGGGGGACGGGCTCCGGTCCCTCCGGTGGTTGTCCTTCTTGTCCTTCTTGTTCTTCTTCTTCTCCTCCTTGGCCGTCTTGCCGCCGCCTTCACTGTCGCGCCTGGCCGACTTCTCCTTGCCCTTGGCCCCCGCCGCCCGTCGTGAGAGCGGCGACGTCGGCAACGCCGGCGGCGATGCCGATGAGGGCGATGTCGTCGATGACGATGAAGATGGCGAGGGCGATGGCGCGGGCGCGGGTGAGGCGTAGAAGAAGGCGAGATCGGGGAGCAGAACGAGCTCCGGCCCATGGTGGTGGCCGGAGCTGCCCGGGAAGAGGCGATAGACGGGGTCGGTGCGGGACACGACCCGCAGCGGCAGCACCCCGGACGCCGACCCTGGCGACGACGACGAGCGGAATCGCGGCTGTCCGAAGGTGGTCACCATCGCGAGCTTGTAGCCCGCCTGCGCCAACGCCTCGGCCTGCGCGACACGACACGCGACACACAGCGTCAATGAGAAGGAGGGATCGGTGATTGGTGGAGGGGGGGAGAGGGAGGGAGGGAGAGAGCGAGAGGCGATGTACGAGGAGGACGGCGGCGACGCCTCCGAGGGCGTGGCCGGCGAGTTCGATGGCGAGGTCCTTGCGGAGGTGCTTGCTGAGGCCGGCCATCAGTCGCTTGGTGAGCTCCGGCAGCCGGTAGTGCTCGGCGGGGTCCACCACGTCCTCGTCCTCGTCCTCCTCCGCGCGCCCTGCCGAAGAGGGCGGCAGCGGGGCCAGGCTGCCGCCGATGACCAGCCGCTGCGCCTTCTTCGGCTTTTGGCCGTCGCCAAAAGGAAAAGGAAACCGAAAAAGAAAAGAAAAGAAAAAGAAAAAGAAAGGACGGATGGTCAGCATTCCGCACGCGACACGCGGGGGGGGGTAGGTAGTAGTCGCAGTAGGGGTGTGTGCTCGTGGGTGTGTGTGTGTGTGTGCTCGTGGGTGGGGTGTGTGTGTGTGTGTGTGTTGTACCTCATTGTGTACGACGAAGGCGCGTAGGGGTGGGGACGACTTGTGGATGAGGGCGTGCTTGCCATAGACCTCGCGGATGGCCTTCCCGCTCTTGTAGACCGTGGCGCACATCATGCCCAGCGAATGGAGCAGCTTCCAATCCAACGCCGCCGTCGTGTCGTCCGCGGCCATCGCGTCCGACGCACCGTCGAGATCCGTCGCAGCAACGGCGGGCACAGCGGACGACGAGGAAGACTTGGCGGACTTGTCGGAGGCGGAGGGCGAGGGTGGAGGGGGCTGGTGGGGGGCGGAGGGCGACGAGGAGGAGGGGAGGGGGAAGGGCGACGAGGGCGACGAGGAGAGGGCCGGGAGGAGGGGCATGGAAGCCGACGACGAGGGCGACGGCAACGACGACGCGAACATGGTCGACGCTACCGCCGGCCGCTTGGACGCGCGCGGCGACGCCGACGACGGCATCGACGAGGCGGCGTGGCCGGTCGACGAACCGCCGTTGAGCGACGCCGGCTTGCGCGACGACGAGAAGCTGCCGCGGGCCGACGATGACGACGACGATGACGACGACGAGGAGGAGGAGGACGATGGCGGGGGCCGGGCCTGAGTGGTGCGGTCCTTGCGGCGCTGGATGAGTTCGTAGAAGGGCGACGAGGTGATGTTGGCCTGCAGGGCCGTCACCCACTCGTCTGAGTCCCGGGCGTTGTCCGAGGCGATGACGTACGAGTCGTGGTGGCCCTGCACCGTTGCGCCGTTGACCATCTTGCAGGCCATGATCTGCTGCTTGTCCTCCGTGTACAGCTCGAACGAGTACTTCTTCCGCCACGGCCGCACCATCAACCCACCTAATCCCGTATGCCGTGTGTGTCCGCGTGTGGTGTGTGTTGTGTGTGGTGTGTGTGTGTGGTGTGCGTGTGCGTGTGCGTGTCGTCGTTGGTGAGCGTGAGGGTCCTGTCGTTCGCGACGCACCAGTTCTTCCAGTCGAAGGGCCAGCCAGCCAAAGGGGGGGAAGAAGGTACCGAGGGGGATGATGCCGCAGGGGGCCGAGGAGTCGGGAGCCTTGAAGTAGTAGAGGACGTTGTCGGCGAGGACGAACCAGCGGCGCTTCCAGGTCTGGATGCGGCCGCCGCGCTTGGTGAGCCACCCCTTGCGCTCGGTCTTGACCCAGAGCGAGGTGTTGGGCGACTCCATCTTGATCTCGTTCCGCACGATCCGGTCGTAGATGGCCCCGAGGAACTCCTCCGGCATGTCCCCGCCCTCGTTGATGCCCCGATTGTTACGCACAAACCCGGCCTTCGTCATCTTGTCCTGTATTTTCCAAACGCGCATCGTTTTAGCCCACCATCATATGCACATTTATCATAAATGTTGTTACACACGACACCACACACGACACCACACACGACACACACACGACACGCACGCGCGAAAACCTTTTGTTGGATGGCGGGGTTGTGTGCGTCGGTGTTGAGCATGATGACGGAGAAGGAGAGGATGTAGGCGGCGTCGGTGTTGGGGAAGACCGACTGCGGGTTGTCGGCGCAGTACTTGGCGGCGAAGGCCTCCATTAGCCGATCGATCTTCTGGGCCTCGCCCGGCAATCGGAATTCGGCCAGGAACACCCGCAGCGCTTCGTCCAGGCTCAGCTCTGCTCAGAAACCCACCAGCCACCAGGTTACCTCGCCTCATCATCTACAGAACCATATATATATATATACATTATGTATATACATATATTCTGTATATACATAAAGAACGACGACGACGACGGCCAGGAATTCCATCCCATTCCAAGGTCCAGTCTCCTGCTGTATGTCGTGCGTGCGTGCGTGCGTGCGTGCGTGCGTGCGTGCGTGCGTGCGTGCGTGCGTGCGTGGACAGAAGGTGGCGAGGGTTGAGACACCACGTACCGGCGAAGGTGAGCTGGGAGAGGAAGCAGCGGAGAGTGAGTCGACAGATTTCGGGGAGGTCGGAGAGGTAGTCGCCCGCGGCGGTTCTGTTGAGTCCGGAGGTGTTGCGGAGGAAATGGGCGATGTCGACCGGGGTGCCCTCGTTGAGGCCGTGGGCCACCAGGTATTCGATGCCCTTCTCCGGGTTTCGGTTGAACTTCTTGATCGCCGTCTGCAGCTGCAGCTTCTTCTCCCGCCGCGCCTCGGCCGACCGCGTGTTGAGCGCCGCCTCGATCACGCCCCGCAGCTCCTCCGCTGCAACGTCCGCCGGCGACTCGCCCTACACACACACACACACACACACACACACACACACGGAAGGAGGAAGAAGAGCAAATTAGATCACATTCATCATTCACCACATACCACTGACGACGACGACGACGACGACGACTAAATGATCGCTAGGGGAGAGGAAGGGGGTGTGGTGGGGCGGGGCGGGGCGTAGAGATACGGTGGTGTCCTTGAGGTGGGGGTTGGCCCCGTGGGCCAGGAGGATTTCGGCGGATTCGCGGTAGCCGTCGGACACGGCGTACCAGAGGGGCGTGCGGCCGTCGTGGTCCTGCGCGTCGACCAGGGCGTCCTCCTCCAGCAGCAGCCCCACGCAGCTCCCGTGTTCCACTCCGTGGTGCAACGCCGTCATCCCCCTTTGTTTTTGTCGTTGTCGGTCACACACACGGCACGCGGCACGCGGCACACGGCACACGGCACACACGACGTAGGTGGGTGGGTGCGGCGGGTGGGAGGGGTTGGAGAGAGAGGGCGCACCGGTCGTCCTGGGCGTTAGCGAGGGAGCCCTTCTCGATGAGGAGCGCGGCGCACTCGCGGTGGCCGTTGAGGACGGCCAGGTGGAGCGGGGACGCCCCGTTGCTGTCGGCGCTGATCAGGTTCGCCTGCGCCCCGAGCAACACCCGCACGCACTCCACATGCCCTTTCGTTTGTGTGTGTGTGTGTGAAAAGAAAAGAAAAAGAGGAAACGCACAGATAGAGGCAGACGTCAGCATCCACGTTAACCTAAAAATTATATGTATAAATAACCTTGGGAGAGGCGGGCCGCACCGTTGAAGGCGGCGTTGTGGAGGGGAGTGCCGTCCTCGCGGTCCTGCGCCTCGACGTCGGCGCCGGCCTGGATGAGGAGGGCCGCGCTGGTGGCCTGCCCGGAGAAGGCGGCCTTGTGGAGCGGCGTCGACCCCTCCCCGTCCTGCAGCGTCACGTCGGCCCCGGCCCGCAGCAGCAGCTTCACACACTCGGCATGCCCGAAGTACGCCGCCTGCCCCCCCCCACCGCCCAGCAACCCGCGATCGCAGAGTTGGAGCCTGCCTGCCTGCCTGGAGGAGGGGCGGGAGGGGGGAGGGGTACCTTGTGGAGAGGCGTGGAGCCCTCCTTGTCGAGCAGGTTGACGTCGACGGCGGACGAGGACGGGTGGTCGAGGAGGGCCGCCAGGCAGTCGTCGTGCCCGTGCACGGCGCACTGGTGCAACGCCGACGTGACGCCCCCGCCCTCGGCTCCGGCCCCCACCTCCGCCCCCGCCTTCAGCAGCGCCTGCACCACCTGCACCTTCCCCTTATAGCACCTGTGGCGTGCGTGCGTGCGTGCGTGCGATGAGTTGAATGAGTGTGTGCGTGTGCGTGTGCATGTGTGCGTGTGTGTGAGTGTGTGGTGTTGTGTGGTGTGATGTGAGTGTGAGTGTGCCACACACACACGATGTATATATCGTACGCATTGGCGAGAGGCGTTTGGGCGTGGGTGTCACCGACATTGACGCGAGCGCCGGCCGCGAGGAGAAGCTGGGTGAAGGGCTCGTTGCCCTTGAAACACGCGTGGTGGAGGGCCGACACACCCGACGTGTCGGTCGCGTTGACGTCAGCCCCGGCCTTGATCAGCAGCTCCGCGCACGTCCGCTGCTCCTTGTACGCCGCGATGTGCAGAGCCGTAGCGCCCCGCCCGTCCCTGCACACACACGACCCACAAGACACGCACACACGTGAATCGTCAGTGCCACGTCAGCATTTGGGTTTGGGTTGGGGGGTGGCGTGCGTGGCGTTAACGTCAGCGCCGTTGTCGATGAGCAGCTGGCAGATGGCGGCGTGGCCCGCGTAGGCGGCCTTGTGCAGGCTCGCCCGTCCGTCCTCGTCGCCCGCCTGCGCGCCGCCCACCCCGACCACCACCACCATCGCCGCCGCCACCAGCCACCAGCCACCAGCCACCACCAGCCAGCCACCGCCACCCATCGACATTTTGCTTCAGCCGGCCAGAGCGAAAGGATCGAAGAGAAAAACAGCGAAGGGCGGGGGGGGGTGTACGGTGAGCGAGGCGCCGCGTCGGAGGAGGAGGAGGACAGTGCCCGGGAGGCCGGCGAGGACGGCCACGTGGAGCGGGCTGGCGCCGGCCTCGTCCTGGGCGCACGGAGTCGCGCCTCGGTCGAGCAGGAGACCCACGCACTCCTCGCTGCCCACGGCGCAGGCACTCGCCCGGTGGAGCGCGGTGGCGCCCCGACCGTCGGTCCGGCCCACCTCCGCCCCGGCGTCCAGCAGCGCCGCCATCGCCTTGGCCGCGCCTGCCGACGCCGCGTAGTGCAACGCAGTCGCCCTGCATCGCACACACGCGCATGTCAGTCGTGCGTGTCGTGCTGTGTGCTGTGTGCGCATATGTCGGATTGTGGGCGTGTGGGCGTGTGGGGGGGGGTGCGTGTGTGTTACCCTTGTTCGCCGGCGGAATCGACGGGCACGCCGCCCTGTTTTAGGAGACTCTGGATTTGAGGCACGTCATTGGCCCTTGCCGCCTGTCGACAGCATTGTTTTCCGTGAGTCACCAGGCAACCACAATGAGCGGAAGAAAGAAGCTCTTGGCATGTTGGGGGGGGGGAGAGGTGCGCGGTACGAGGTGGAGGGGCGAGGCGCCGGGGACTACGGCCAAGTCAGAGCTCGGGCGGCCGCCGACGGCCGTGGCCACCACGGACGACGATGACGACGACCCGGGTCCCAAGGGCGTGCTCGACGATGATGATGTCATTCCGGCTGGCGACGACGACGACGAGGTTGTGGATCGTCGCGACGGTACCGGCGGCGACAACGAGGACGTGGACGATGGCGAAGGAGCCGGCGCGCCGGCGGATGGCGGGGTGGCAGTGCCGCTGGGGGCGGCGGTGGCGGCGGCGGCGGGCAGAAGATCGACCAGCGCGTGGTGACCCTCGCGCCGGGCGTAGTCGGCGGGCGCGTGGCCCAGCTCGTCAACTACGAAGGGCGACGCGTCGTGGCGGAGGAGCGCCTCGACGAGGGGCGCGGCGCCCGAGTGGGCGGCCCAGTGGAGGGCGGTGCAGCCGTTCATGTCCTGCATGTTGAGGGCCGGCCGCGGGATGTGGGACAGGAGCCACTGGCCGGCCGCGGCGTAGTGCAGCAGGCACGCGTAGTGCAGCAGCGTCATCCCGGACAGGTCCTGCACCACCAGCAGCCGCTCGCCCGACGGCCCATCGCACAGCTTCTCCACCACGCTCCTGGTGTGTGTCGCGTCGGCATGAGATCGTGTGCGATATGCTGTGTGGCGCGTACTAGACACGAGGGGCGTACTTGATGAGGGCGTCGCGCTTCTTTCGTTCGGAGGCGGAGGTGGAGGCCCAGCACGCAGGATCCAGCTCCACGCTCTTCCGCACCTGCACGCGTGGCGCGAGTAACTTGTTAACGGTGTATACGGTGTATATGGTGTGGTTTCTGGCGTATGGAAAGGCCTATAGATATATAGATAGATATATATATATATATCGTTCGCTCGACGGCGTACCTTGCGGAGCGGTTTGGCGGCGGGTCCCTTGTTGCCCTTATCGTCGGGCTTTTCGCTGGCGAGGCGATCCATGAATCGGACGAGGTCCCACACGTTCCGGAGGGCGTCCTTCTTCACCAGCCCCTCCTCCACGAAGAACGGCGACGAGTAGGTCGCCCCGCCGCCCGCACCCACCATCCGCGCCGCCAAGTGGAAGGCCAGCGGACCCACGTGAGACGATCTCTGCGTGTGCATGTGCATGTGCGTGTGCGTGTGCGTGTGCGTGTGTGTGTGTGTGCGTGTCGACAACATATATCGAAAATACATACACACATAGAAATATGTATATCTCAGTAACGTGATCTCGCGCAGGACTCGGACACACACACACACACACACTTCAGCACCTAACCACGACGCACGACGCACAACCAAGATGGCACGCACTTCGAGGATCGTGAGATAGACGGCGAGTTCGTTGGACTCGGGGACGATGCGCGCGCCGACGTAGGGGCCGCGAGAGCAGGGCTTGGGGTGGGCGCACAGGAGGTCGTGAGTGCCGAGGACGTGGCCGGCCCCGATGCTCTTCACCAGGCACGACCCGTGGTCTCGCTCGCATGGCGCCACGGCCTCGGCGCCCTCCTCGTCGTCTCCACCGCCCCGGATCGTGCCCCGCCGTCGCAGTGTGCTGCGGCCGGGCCGGGCTGGCACCTTCGCTCCGTCGGCTCTGCTAACTAGTTCGTTGCCACCAGCGGCCACGGCCGCCACCGCCACCACCGCCAGCCCCGGCCAAGTCAGTTGCGCTGCACACACACACACACACACACGAAGAGGGCGAGAGAGAGAGAGGAGAGAGAGGCGGGTCCTGTACAGGAGGAGAGGGCTTTGGGGCGGGTGACGAGAGAGAGGTGGAGGTAGAGGATGGGGAGGGCAGGCGAGGCGTGGGTGAGGGAGAAGAGGAGGCCGCTGCGCCCCACGGCCCGCTCAAACTGGGCGGCCAGGAGGGGCACCTCCCGCCCGACCTCCACCACCTTGGCCTTGACCACCACCTGCTGGCCCGCGCGCACCCCGGCCTCCGGTTGCAGCGTGAACCCCACCCGCACCCCCCTGCACGCACGCACGCACCCACCCACAAGAAGCCAGATGCAAAACCAAACAATTAATCAAATAAAAAGGGGCCAAAATACGCAAACAAACAAAAAACAAGGAATAATAATAATAATAATAATAATAAAAGACACCACGGTGCCTGGGTAAACCACTTGCTGTTCTGTTCTTGCAGACGAGCCCTGGTACCCACCTTTCTTCGATTACCCCTGGAG